AGGATCTCTGTGAGTTCAAGTCCATCTGGATCTACATAGCCAGTTATGGGCCGTCCAGGGCCACATAATGAGATCCGGGCTCAATTCCCCTCAACCCAAAGAGAAGAACAGAGAAGAAAGAACACAACTCTAAAAACTGTCTACACATCAATGCGTTCAAGAATCAGAAGCTGGTTAAATATCTGATGGCACAACCGCCAAAGGAACATGCTCACAGAATACTCTTGGCAACAGAAGGAATGTTTAATGTAAGCAGAAACCAAAGGAAATGAAAAGGACACAAACCAATGCCTTCCTGAAAATAGGCTAATTGGTAATTTTCAGATGTAAGGCGACTACAACATTATTTTACATGACAAAAAAGGTGTTCCATGCCATCCAATTTTCTCAGACTTAAACAAGTAACAACACATTAAGGATTATTACATAATATCAAGTATTTTAAACACCATTTAATCAGCATTTATTAGTATGCATGAACTATGCAATAATACTGAATACACACATGCATCACCTTCAACACTGTTGCAAACATACTGTGATGTCAATACAGTATAAAGAAATTGCCTGTTAAGATACATTATGAGAGTGTCTAAAGGTAACAGGAAATAACCAACATTGGGACATGACAGTTAAATTCTCATGGTGAAGTGAAATATGGGAATACCCAGGGACCAGGAGTTCAGATAGTCTGAAAAGACACTTTTCCTACGCTCTGCACCTGGCTTTGTGAATGTCTAATTTCATACTTGTCACTGCTTGCTTGCTATATTATATCAGTGAGTACTTAAGCATTTATAAGAAGACAAAATCAGAGGAGAATCCTGGGAAAATTCCGTACACTTCTGCTCATGGACAGTCACTTGCCCTCTCAGACTAACCACAATCTAGTCTTCTTCCCACGCCAACTTCACTAGCCAGAACCCCAAGCCTCTCACTCTGGGGCTGCATTTCCAGTGAAGGAAGCTCATGGCTAGGGAGTCTAACTCACAACATTCTTACACTCACTTGAGAGCTTTAACACGTTAGCAGTGGAAATCTCTATGTGATGTTTTACTTAAATTATACATTCAGTTTATCATAAATGCCATTTCAGGTTATCATAAATGCTATTTGTAATTTTTCCTAGGAAATTAAGGAGAATAACTTGGGATAAGTAACAAATATTACATAATTTAAAATTCCTTTTAAAGCACTGTCTGAAAGAAAAAGTATGGCTGGGTGTTGGTGGTCACACCTTTAATCCCAACACTCAGGAGGTAAAGACAGGTGGATCTCTATGAGTTCGAGGCCAGCCTGGTCTACACAACAGGAGTTCCAGGACAGGCTCCAAAGCTACAGAGAGAAACCCTGTCTCAAAAAACAAAACGAGAGAGAGAGAGAGAGAGAGAGAGAGAGAGAGAGAGAGAGAGAGAGAGAAAAGAAATGCCTTATCAAAGTTTTAAAAGATGTTACTTTTTAATTATGTGCATGTGTTAGTATATATGCTGCCTAAGTACAGATACCCACAAAAGCCAGAAGACTGCATCAGATCCCCTGCTGCTGGAATTACAGTCACTTGTGAACTACCCAACATGGATGCTAGAAACTGAACTCGGTCCTCTGGAAGACAGCAAGTGCTCTAACCACTGAGCTATGTCTCCAGCTGTAATTCAAACTTTTTCACTTTTCAAGTATTTACCTGGGTCTGTGTTTGTACTTGCATCCTGACTTCCCACGGTTTTCTTTCGTACAGAGGCCAGGAAATGCAGTCCAGCTGAAGTATTAACATCATCTTCTAACATTTCTGAAATATAACAAAATATGGAGAGCAATCACTGAGAAGCCAACATGTTATTGGAAGTACAGTAACTAAAGGTGTGTGTTGGGATGTTATCAGAATGCATTTTCTACATGAGGTGCTGTATGAACTACATCCTAAAGACACTGTGAATCACACCCACACTTGTAGAGGACACCGTATTTCAGGCCCAGAAACCTAGAGCCTTCTCCTCTAGCTATGGAAGGTCCAGTGGAAGCAATGTGACCAGACCGCTCCTGTAGAAAACTCACCCCACCTGTGGAAAGCAGCGCTGAATGAATAAAACTGAAGACCATCAGATAAGGTTCTGTAGCAGTTTAACAAAGGAGGTAAGAAAGGCTAGGACGAGAAACTGGGTAAAAAGGCAAAGTAAAAGGCAGCATTTGCGGGTTTTTTTTTTGGGGGGGGGTGTTTGATGTTAATATAAATGGAGATAGATAACATAGAAGGGAAAAAACAGTTTGGAGAGGAAAGACAATGAGTTCTGATTTCATGAGCTACAAGTGGTCTTTCCCCAAGCAGAGAAGCTCTGCAGGAGCAGAATCAAAGTCTAAATATATTATGGCAGTCTGAGTTAGAGTGAGATTTTATAGGGAGATGGCCTAGGAAGACCAGATGGAATAAGAGATCAACAATTACACATAATAAATTAGGTATAATAACAGACATAAAACCATTGGGCATAATAAACACATATTTGGTCTTTGTTCTTAGTTTCGGGCAGTTTTCTACACCTTTAGAAGCTCTTAAATAAGAGTGAGCTTTTTATTCACAACAACCAGAGTTGATGCTAATGGAAGATCCCTAAACAGCTTCAGGGTCAAGGCTGGTCACGGGAGGAGCCAACTACATTGTTAAAGGGTTAGCACCTACCATACCCCACCCCACCCCCACCCCCGTGGGGAGGTGAAGACACTGAAGACTGATTTCAGTGAATGATTTAATTAAGTGTACAGGGAATCACAGAAGTGTTGTTTGGTGTAACACAATACCCATCCACTGGTGCACTACACAGTCATTAAAAATGGAATCATACAAATGACACTGTCCTGAAATGATGCTTGCGTTTCTAACACACATGTATTTTCTATGACAAATTCAATGCTAGGCATAGTCACCCATAACTTCCTTACTGAGGCCTTTTTTTAAATTCTATTTGACATTCTGATTAACTACGTCACTCGACTGCAGAGCTTGGCAAACTTTCTCTGTACAGTGCCATGTAGGCGTATGTAAGTCTTTGTAGCAACTCCTTTACTTTGTTGTGGTCTGAAAGCCTTGAGGTTATGTTACAATAAAACTGTTCATAAGAGCAGGCATGGTCTCCATCAGGTCCATGTTAACCACTACTCCACTGGATAAGAAACAAAGTACAAAGGTCCTCCTCACCCTTGTCAAAAGAACAGGAAAGTGGCTGTAGTGGTTTGGGTAAGAACGGCCCCGCAGGCTCATATATTTGAATGGTTGGTCATCAGGGAGTGGAATGGTTTGAAAGGATTAGAAGGACTGGGAGGCATGGCCTTGTTGGAGGAAGTGTGCCACTTGGGGTAGGTTTTGAGGTTTCAAGAGCCCAGGTCATGGCCGGTCTCTCTCCGTCTCTCTCTCTGTCTGTCTCTGTCTCTCTCTCTCTGCTTGGATCAGGATGAAGCTCTCAGCTACTGTTCCAGAGCCATGTGTGCCACCACGCTCCCTGCTATGATAATGGACTGACCCTGTGAAACTGTAAGCAAGCCCCCCAATTAAATGCTTTCTCTTATAAGGGTTGCTTTGCCAGGGCATTAGGGGTGTATGCCTATAATCCCAGCACTCAGAAGGCAGAGGCAGGCAAATTTCTCATTTCAAGGCCAGACTTGTCTACAGAGCCAGTTCCAGGATAGCCCCGCCTCAAAAAAAACAAAAAAAAGTCCTGTGGTCAAGGAGTCTCTTCACAGCAAGAGAACAATGACTAAGACATTAATTTAGTCTCAGTTTTATATTACATTTATTTCTTCCCTCACCCACCCCAAGACAAAGTCCCTCTGTGTAGCCCTAGCTGTCTTGGATCTTGATTTACAGTCCAGTCTGGCCTTGAACTCAGAGATTCACCTGCCCCTGTCTCTTGAGTGCTGGGATTAAAGGTGTGCATCACCACCGCCCAGCCTTATATTTATTTCTAAAAAGCTGACTTAACATTAAACTTAGACATTCTATTAATCATGTG